GTGGTATCTCACCCCAAAGCCACGGATGATCTCGCCCAGCGGCTTCACATAAATGTTGAACAGAAAGGGTGAGAGGACCGATCCCTGCGGCACTCCACAAATGAGAGGCCTCGAGGTCGACCTCTGCCCCCCTGCCAACACGAACTGCGACCGGTCTGAGAGAAAGGAGGAGAACCACCGTAACACGGTGCCTCCCATCCCCAACTCTTCCAGCCGGTGCAGCATGATACCATGGTCGATGGTATCAAAAGCCGCTGAGAGGTCTAACAGGACCAGAACAGAGGAGCAACCCGTCCCGAGCCCTCCAGAGGTCATCAACCAACGCGACCAATGCCGTTTCCGTGCTGTGCCCAGACCTGAAACCCGACTGGAACGGATCTAGATAAGATGTTTCCTCCAGGAATTGCGGAAACTGTCGCGTGACCACACTCTCAACAACCTTCGCCATGAAGCGAAGGTTGGAGACAGGACGGTAGTTGGCCAATATTGCCGGATCGAGGGATGGGTTCTTGAGGAGAGGCCTCACCACCGCCTCTTTCAAGGCAGTGGGGAAGTAACCCTCACTCAACGAAGCGTTGATAACACCCTGGAGCCAGCCTCGTGTAACCTCCTGGGAAGCCAGTAGCAACCAGGAGGGACACGGGTCCAGTAAACATGAGGCCGCACTAAGTCTCCCCAAAATCCTGTCCACATCATCGGGAGTCACAGCATCAAACTCCTCCCAGATAACATTCTCAAGACTATTCCTCGTCACCCTGCCCTGATCTACCCAGTCAGAGTCCAAATCCCCCCGGATCTGAGCGATTTTGTCATACAGGTATTGTCCGAAATCTTCCGCCCTGCCTTCCAAGGGATCTTCCCGCACTCCCAGATGGAGCAGGGAGCGGGTTACCCTGAACAGGGCGGCCAGACGATTCCCTGATGACGCAATAGAGGCGGAAAAGTAATTAAACTTTGCCGTCTTTATCGCCACTAGGTAGGTCTTAATATGCGACCTTACCAGTGTTCAATCAGATTCAGCGAGACTGGCCCTCCAACTGCTCTCCAGGTGTCTTTTCCGGCGCTTCATTTCCCTCAGCTCCTCCGTGAACCAAGGAGCCGCCCGGGATCGGCACCGGATCAGAGGCCGCAAAGGCACGACTCGGTCCAAGGCCCCACCAGCCGCCCGATCCCAGGTCCTCGGCCGAGTCATGTGCTAGATCCTCAGGAAATGGCCCAAGCTCCATCTGGAACCTATCAGGATCCATCAGGCACCTGGGGCGGATCCATCTAATTGGGCCCGCCTCCCTGCGGCGAGGGGTAGCGGTTCGAAGATCCAGGCGAAGGAGCGAGTGGTCAGTCCATGACAAGGGTTCCATATCTATATCCCCTATAGCAAGACCACTCAACCACTGGCCAGAGACAAAAATCAAGTCCGGAGTGTGACCTCCCCTGTGAGTAGGGCCATGAACTAATTGGGTCAGGTCCATGGCCGTCATGGAAGCCATGAACTCCCGAGCCACCTCAGACGTTTCACCGACGGATGGCAGGTTGAAATCACCCATGACTAAAAGCCTGGGTGTATCTACTGCCACCGTGGCTATCACATCGAGTAGCTCAGGTAAAGCTGTTGCCACGCAGCAGGGAGCCAGGTACGTAAGCAACAAGCCCATCTGAACCCCACCTCACAAAGAGGGACTCACATCCGGCTATCTGAGGCACAGTGGTCTCCCTCGGACCCAGATCCTCGTTAATAATAACCGCCACCCCCCCGCCCCTCCCCTGGCCCTTGGCTGATGGAATGCTCTGAAGCCTGGTGGGCACATTTCAACCAGAGGGACACCGCCCTCCGGGCCCAACCAGGTCTCCGTAATAACCGCCAGGTCCGCTCCTCCCTCTTGTATAAGATCATGAATGAGGGGGGCCTTATTTACCACGGACCTAGCGTTGCATAACATCAGCCGAAGGCCCAGATCCTGAGTGTCTAAGCCTCCTAGTCTCTAATATACAATGCAGCAGCTAGATTTCTAACATAACTCCATTAGACTGAAGTAACGCTGATTTTATTATTGCTACATTGTTTACTACTAGGCTTCTGAATCCAGTTCAAAGTGCCAATTATTGTCTTCCAAATAGTTAACAGCACAGCATCTGATTTCATTTCATCATTATGAAATGCAGGATAAAATATTTTTTGGAACTCCAGAAAATAGTTAGGTGAAACACTGGCTAAGGTATTAAAATTTAGTAACAATATATTAAGTTATTTATATCTCCCCGTATTATTTTTACAAATAGGTCAGGGTGGTAACACATATGATGCTCCCTCCTCTTTTCTCTACAACCACCATGAATTGGGCTAAGAGACAATGACTGGCCTAAGGTCACACAGCCAGCTTTTGTGACTAAGTAGAACATGTATCTCGTTTCTAGCATGGTGCCTTAACCACTCACTAGACCAAATTGGCTCTGAAGATGCCTAAGTATTGTTTCTAAGAAGTTATCATGATAGGACACAAGTTTTTATACTATATTGTGATTGGTGAGGGACAAGGGATACACTACACAACAGTTTGGTACAAAAGCATCTTTGGCATCTGGAGTGATATGGAAGTAGAATTCTCAGGACAATTTTCAGAATTATTTTACACATACCCATTTGTAAGATATATTGCAGAACCCATTGAATTCTAATTTTAAGAACTACCCATCCCATTAATTTAAATAATACCTCTGTTAGCAAGTGATTTAGGTAAAACAATTCACGGCTTCTCTTTATCAATCAGCATTCACCCAACTTGAATGGATTCTGGATTCTATTGACAAGTTATTTAGTTTTACCTGTTTGCTAGAAATTTTATCACAACTGTCAGGATTAGCTGTATAGTAATTTCAAAGAAAACAGCCTAAATTTGCCTCAAAACATTTTTAACTGTATTTAATTAGTAACAGTAGTTGTTATCACCTTTGTTTTGAATCTCCGCTTTCTATTTTCCTATCAGAAATTACCCAAGAAACAACTGCAGCATGACTGACTAAAGATGTGATTACCACTACTCCTATTAAAACAGCTCAATTAGACTGAATAGCATAGCTAAACATATTGGGAAAGCCACAATTAAGGCAGAATTCCTCCTCTCAAAGTTGTACCTGTGAATTTTTAGTTTCCTGGACTTTAATTTCTGAATTCACTAGCAAGTTAGCTGGTTCTTCTAACAATGAGAGATTAAAGCAGCCAAATACTCAGTTACTGCTTCACACCTTCCCTTCCAAAGGTGAGTGCAAAATGAAACCCTCAATACTTTGCCTGTCTGTAAAATCACAGGATGCTACTTCTGTGATTTTCATAAGGCTGGTCAGAAGTGAATGAATACATTGTAAAAATACCCATGCATGTGCAACATTTAAGGAGAAAAAATATTTAATGCTGTCCTAGTGGTAGGAACCTATCCTATACCTGGAGCCGCTATGCAGTTTCTGCTTTAAAAAACAATGGAAATCCCCTTCTCTTGCATGGCCCAGAAAAGAATCTTCTATTATAGTGTTACTTTTCTCCATACTATCTTCTTTGCCCACAGTTGTTTATTTGTATATAAGTAGTAAAGACATTTCACGTCCAAGTGTTTCTTTTAAGGATTTTCCTATATACCGTATTTTTCGGACTATAAAAAGCTCCGGGCTATATAACGCACCTAACTTTTGGGGAGCAAAACAAAAAAAATCTGCCTCTGCCTCCCAGCATTCATCCAGTATACATCTGGCCCATTCCTCATGGCTGATCAACACTACATCAACCCCCTCCCCCCGCCACAATATTTGCTGTATAAGACACAGACATTTCCACCCATGGGGGGGGGTGCGTCTTATATTCTGAAAAATATGGTACATACTGTGAATTGTGTTTGCTCAGCAATATTTTCAAGAAGGCAGAAACATCAAATAATCCCTCCACTTACCTAAATTATCTGATTTGATTCATAAAATTGTAACTATTACAGCATCATTAGGGCAAAAATATATGAATTTGTATTTCACCAGATCGCAGTGCACATGACTGAAATAACTTTTTCACACGACAAAATGAATTAAAAGTTTACTTTAATTCTGAACCATCTGAATAACTATTTTCATGAAGCATCTGTATCACAGCAGGCTACAATATTGGATAAAAGGCAACTGGTAAACTGTCCAATATAAGGTTCCATACAACAGTTTTTACTGGCCTCTATCCAGCATTTCCAGATAAAATTTTTGATCGAAAACAGGAAATAGATCCACTTGCTTATTGCATATTAAAAAGGAAACTAATTGGGCCATTTCTATTTGTCTAACTGTTTTTATACAAAAGGGCTACACAATGTTACACTTTTCTGAATACAATTAGAGTGATTATGAATTAGTGTTCTACACCATTACTCAATCCTTAAAAATCAGAAATTGCTGTAGCATGTTCACTATAACTTAAACACAGAGACTTAAAAACTCTACAATTACTGCAAAAGAGAAAACTACTCTGAAAGCAAGCAAGGTCAGTACCATTACAGTCATTTAAAAATTAAAAAAAAGTTTTAAACAAGCAAGGCTAGAATTTGATAAATTTCATCTTGTGATTCATTCTTGTGCATTCTTCTATTCGCTCCCCAAATCCATGTGTTATTCCTTGACCAAATAAAAAGGACCAGAACAAAAAGTTTACTTCAGTTGTTCTCATAGGAAACTCAGCTTGGTTAGTGTGTCAGGCACTTTCTGAGATACCAGCCCACCCCACGAGCACGCTCAGCAACTCTACAGGCCAATCACAATGCAAGATCAGAAAACACAGCTGCGTAAAAAATAATAATAATCAGAAATTAGAACAATTATGAATACTCATGTTAAGAATTGTAACAAACTTGCAGCATAATATATTTTTGTTAATCGTGTTTACATCTCAAATTTGATATTCTTATTTCTAATGTGAACTAATCCAAAGCAATTCCTCACTGCCAGCCAACTTCTCAGATTGCAGATAAACTTCTTACCTAAAAGAATGATTTACAGATCAGTATCGAACCAGGCCAATTGATTACTGTCACCTGGAGGGAGCCCATCCATAAGGTCCTGGGCATGTCCTAGATCTGGTAGTCCATCAACTGGGTAGTCAGCACCAGGGTGATGGCCACCCATTTCATGTTCCATCATTGGGTCGATACCCAAGGTATCCTGACCATATCCTCCAGAGTGGAAAGAACGATAGCTAGGATCTAACAAAAATTAAGGTTGCAGAGGGGAAAAGCTGTCAATATGTTAGATGCAACAGAAATTCCAGGTATCAGTCTGTGACTTTCATAACCTAGCCACACTGGTCATTTTCTAGACCAAATTTATATGGATAAAGCATGCTACCCAGTACTATCAGAAGTATAAGCAAATTTTAGCCTAGCCATTGGTCTGCATATTGCTGTAAACTTGGTACACAAACCTTAAACACAGACTTTTAAATATTATACCAGATAAGTGTACAGCTTGTTCTTCACATTTGTGCAACTGACATGTCTAAAAATATGCTGCTGATATAAATAAATCTGTACTCTTCACGTTAGAATACAAGCAGCTAATATTGTCTTGAAGTATTCACTAAGGTTTCAACATATGTTGTATAGTTATCACTTAGCTTTGAACTTGTTCAAAGACTGTTCAGATAGGACAGTGATGAAAAAGGAAACTTATGGCTAGTGCTTGCAATTGCAATTGTCACACAATTATGATGGTCATAGTATCCTATGGTCAAGTGATTACCATTTGTACCATTACCAACTTCTGAAAAGCAAAATTAATAGAGAAGTCAGCAGGATGTTGCAAGTTGCAGGCATGTTGATATCCTGCTGGCTTCCCCACTGACTGGAACCGAAACTGCCATCATAAATTAGCATTTATTATTGTTCCAACAAACAATACAAATAACTGAATTAATTATGTGGTCAGCCAGCTCACATTTAATGTTTGATTGAGTCAAGTCAGCTGCACAATTGATACGTACCATCTGGGCGATAGCCAAGAGGTTCTCCTTGAGCACCAATGTCAAGGCCCAAATCAGCACTCTGTAAAGATATAAAAAATGACATCTTAACTAAATATATCTTTTAAGTTTTATAAACTGGCTTACAGGTCCACAATTTCAAAAACGTAACTTATTTCTATGTAGGAACAGAATGGACAGTTCCAGTTACTTTTCTATATAGCTAGTCTTAGGGTTAAGACAAAGTCAAATACCTTGTTAAAAAAAGTTTTACATTACCTATTCCATGCAAAATTGTTCCTGTCATATTTGTCATACACAGTTAAGGTCTAATATTGGATGATTTGCTTTCTTATATAAAAATTTTATAGGCATATCATTTGGAAAAGTATTCCAGTGATTTAATTTTGCACTGAAGATTAATCCACACAGAATATAAAGAAATATCTGGCAAATAGGCCAAAGACAGATGAAAATAAGCACTAGGAACTCAATCTAAATCCTGATTACTTTGTTTGATGTTTACATGTTATATTTAATTAAAATGTTTAATCTGAAACTTGGTATGAAATTAAAAGAGAATTCTATGAATAGGAAGAAAGTTAAATGGAGAAAATTTAGCACTCTAACCCACCTCATTCCAAGCCATTGGTTCAGTCCTAAAAAGAGAACTGGTCAGTTCCACTGACAGACGTTTCTTATAATCTTGTGGTTTATCTTCAGACATTCTGAATAAGACCGCAGCTGCATATGTTGCTGTCCAAGGAAAAAAGAATGTTAGCAGAGGAATTTAAAATCAAAGCAAAGTGAATCCCTATCTATGTCACTTACCCACACCCTCGTTTCTAGAATGTAGTAGTTCTGTTAATGGTGCTGTAGCTCCCTCTGCTTCAATTGCCTCAGCAGCTTCTTTATCTTGAGCCAATTCACATAGTACACCTGCAGCTACTCTCTGGATGTTCTCAATCGGGGAATATAGCAACTAACAGTAGGAAGAAAAATAATAAAATTTGGGGGTGTTTTTAAAACACAAATCATTAATAACTAGGACTTGATGTCTGGCTATTATCAGGAATCCAAGTTGTGGTAGGAACCTTCATACTGAATATTACAACTAGACTATAGTTGCAATGGAGCAAATAAATAACGAAATCCCTGCAGGTTGTCCTGACTTATAACTGGTCACTTACGGATTGCTTGAAGTTATGAGGGACCCCGTCAGGCCCTGCCTCTCCTGCTTTCCCAAGAAAGTATAGACTCTTGAAATGTGGTATTTCAAAAGGAACTTGAGTTCCTTTCAAAAGGAACTATTCAGAAGAAGTGATAACAGGACAGGCGAAGCAGACTCTAAATTCCCTCCCAGACTATAGTTAGAAATAGGGCTTTAGAATCCCTCCCTCCAGTCCGAATGTGGATTCAGCCAATCCCCAGGTGTGAAGATGTTTATTATAACAGCTGTCTTGAGAAACAGAGCCGTTCCCAGGATTTTCTTTCGCTATCAACAAAACTGAAACAATCCACATGGCCCTCCCTCATTACATTCCAAAGAAGGTGAGAATACTGCCGGGCCAGGAAAGATTAAAAAATACAGTTTATTCCCATGTTCCCCCCTCCCTCCATTTGAATGGCAGTATCACGTTAGGCATTTGACAGACCCCCAGAAGCTACTTAAAACTCTAGATTTGAAATTCCAGTTGCTGTCCCATCAAATGACTGCATTTGAATGCTCAGCAACCAGCCTGAATTTGCAGCTATTTGCAGCACTTGACAGTGATGTGACTGCAATTAATGTTTTTGCTGGAAACCAGCATTTATTTCCAATTTCTGGCAAAACCACCCCAGAATGAACAATGGGCTCCCTTAATAATTGCTGCAGAAAGGATAGGGCATGATTACATGGTGATCCATTTAATGACCATCATGACTTCTGACCAAAATTGCAGGTTCAATTATGGTCATTAGTTGAGGACTATCGTATGTTTCCTTAGGAAACTGTACTGAGAACCTATTTCCACTGGAGATTTCAAGCATATTTTCAATTTTTTTTACAGGGAACACCAATTTTTGTATTGACTACCAATCTCTGAATTCAGATCAGATTTTAAAAAGTATATGCATTTTCATTAGATCATAACTAGCTTTAGTATCTGTCAAAAGACTTCACCTACCTGCACAAAGAGTGGAATGGTGTTTAGACCCCTAATTACAATCCGATTGTGGACGTCTCTAGCTAGGATATGAAGAGCTCCAGTGCAGCCCTCAACTATTTCCTCCATACGCACACCCTCCTGTACAAAACATAATAGACTTAATATTCATAAGCCAAGAGTGGTTGATCACTATTAACATCACAATAGTAACATTCTTCCTCATCAGATAAATATTTTTATTTACTCAGCTGCTGTCACACTGTAATTATCAGATAGGTTTTCTGGTTAGTCACACATTTTTGCTTTTCTAAGGGCTTCAAAGGATATACCTAACACTGCAACAGCAACAGGCAGGGATAATAGTTCACAATTTCTATTTTTCACATATGGGAGGAAGACAATTAAGGGAGAAAAGTGAAGTCTCTGAGTTGAAATGTTGAGAGGCTGATTTTTCTACTTAAAAATCTTAAGAGGAAAAATCAGCCAAATTCATTAATGGTTTTAATATTATTAAATTTGTAAGATCTAATAAATATTCTGTCTTTTAGCTCCTTACTCCCAAAACAAGTAAGACATCCAAAATTTTCATACTCTATGGGAAATTGGAGATGTGCACATGGATTTGGGCCTCACAGAAAGCCCATGGGTAAGAACTTCTACTTAATACAGTCCATTAAGCCAATAAACATCAATATTTTTTTTCCCACATTGCAATACAACTTGTGAATTCATTTGCAATGAATTTAAATCATGTGGACCTACAATGCTCTGGGTACAAATCTTTGGAATACTTTCATCCTCATCATGACCATATACTTGGTTTACCCTTACTGAAATTTACTTCTAAAATGTTCTCGGTTGCCTATAGAGATTTAACATTAACAGTTACCAATACTTTAACAAGTAAAATATATTAGTTTAACTCCTACAAGATCAAGTTTTGAAAAGGAAAACCAGCTGAACTGGTTTAAATTTTTAATTTGCAATAATGATTCTAATCCTCAGGAATATTACCAGCTGTTTTTAAAACTGGAGATACTATCTGAACTGGAGATATCTGCTGCTAGAGTTTACCTATGTAGATGTTTTGGCTGAAGAGTATGAATTGAGATATCAAATCTCTAAGACTGTAGTTCAAGCATGAAAAAACAAAGCCTTGATAACAACCATGTTTTTAAAAGCTAGTATTTTTTGGCTGCAATACGTATCAAAATTATTCTAATGAGTGCACACATTTATTACAGAATGGAGATTATGAAGATCATGCCAGAACACATATATTCGCACACTAACTCAGCATAAACCAATTGCACAAAAATTGTTTATGAATTTTGGTAGAGTTATTGTACAAAATCTAAAAACTAGACTACCCAATAGCAAAGAAATATTTTCTCTTTGCTGTCCCGATGGTCATCTGGAGTTCTATAGCCTATGTACTTAAGAGCCCCAGTTTCATGTACTACTGTCTACCTATTAGGAACAGATGCATGGACACTTACATATAAACCCCATTCACTATTGAGATGTCAAATGTACTGAGGATATTGTGATCTAAGATTACCATGACCCAAATAATTTAAAAAATCTTACACATACATATGGGAATGAGTACTAAGCCTCAAGACCTTAGATATTACAGTATTTATAAAGTGCCATTTATTTTAAAATTTTATATAGCTACTCATTTCATAAAACAAGTCATTCTGACTGGTAGACATCACGTAACAACAATAATTGGGACCAGAATTTCTATCACTAAGTGATGCAATTGTACAGAGCAATGCCACATGACTATACTGCTTAGTAATGGGAATTCCAGCACTTCCAGTTGTCAGTTAAGCAAATCACAGCAGTACATTAAGCAAGGACCTCCTTTGAGATCTCCTGCTGAAGGGCGCTAATGGCAATCAGATGATTAATTTAGCTGTTTTAAATGTAATAGATTTTTTATTTATATACTACATTTTATTTCATGATATACTAATTTGTAATAAATAGATCAATAACTAAGGTTGAAAAAAATACTTGGCTGATTAAAGTAAATAGAACTTGAGATATTTTCTACCACGAATCCCTGCAACACTAATTAATGAATCCTTGAATACTAATTAATGACATTCTGCATCAAGAATCACATACCACAAACTGCTGCTGTGTACCACCCATTGAAGTTCGACGTTGAGTATCTTGATGTGCTCTAACTAGTAGTTGCACTAATCTTGGTATTGCCCCTTGTTCACGCAACGGAGCATGATTTGCTGGGCAGAGAGCAAGATTACGAATCAAACCAACAGTTGCCTGTAAATGTAAGGAAAGCAATTAGAAAGAAATTACATGTTGCACAGTACTGCAGAATTTTGCTCCACAATTCAAGCCTTTAAAATAAGTTTAATTTATTGCATCCCTTGTAATATATTTTTTAGAAGCCATCTAGATTTTGTGCATCCTCCCCATTCCAAATCAAAGATAATACTGATAATTCCATTACCAAATCACCTTACCTTTATAAGAGGCCAGTGGGAAGGTGGATGCAAGAGTTTAACCACTACTGGTAGACCATAATGAAGGCGCACTGCATTTTGGGCCATTTCAGCTTCCTGATGCCGACTGGTGAGGTGGCGGAGGGCACAGATAGCTGGCTCAGTAATATCCTCCCTGTCACCAGCACGGAGAACTGTGCGTACAAGGGCTTCAATTCCACCAACTTGGCACACCATCATTTTATTCTTGTAGTTATTGCAAGTAAGATTAGAAAGGATGCCAGCAGCACAAGTCACAACATTGATATCATCTGATCCTAAAAGCTGCACAAGTGTTCCCAAAAGACCTTCCATGCCTTCCTGTAAGAAGATTTAATATCAGCTTTTCTGTAAGATCGTATGCTATTGTGTATGCAATTATAGATAGTCCTGGCTTGTGAACACAATTGAGTGTGGAATTTTGGTTCTAAGTTGTAGTGGTTGTTAAATGGATCATCACATGACTCAATGGTCATAAAGTCTTGTTGCCATGATCATTTGCTGGACCCACCCTAGATTCTTTGGTCACCTGTGGCTTCTATCAAAAAGATATTTTTTGTTTTGTTTTATCAGCAACATTATAGTTAGCAGTGCTTCAAGGAACAATAATTTCTCATCGGTCCTTGTTTTCTAAAGGCACTTAAGGGCTTTGTTGTAGTTTGAAATTAGTACAGAGATAAAGAATTGTTGAGGATTACTTAGAACATAAAGGTAAATGTTTATTTCTAACATGATTGGAACAAATTAGTACAGGAAGCCTCTTACTTCAAGAATATTTTAAATTCATTTATATCTAATTTATATATCCATATATATAATTTATATATATCTTACACATTTCAAATTAATCAGATAGTTATGCTTTTCACTTAAGAAAAACAAAAAACTTATATTAATAATTTAACATCTTTATACTCTCAACTGTTCAATGGGAGACAAGTTCTGATGGTATGTCATAACCATGTGACTTCAGTCCAAAGATATCTTTTTATTATAGATAACTAAGCATTTACATTTGTGTCTTGCAATTTCAATCAAATCCATGAAATTATAATTTGCCTTTTAATTAATTAATCTGGTTCAACATGAAAACAGGAAATTACAGAAGATCTCTAAGATTATGGTGAAAATCTTATTTAGCATTCTGTCTGAATTTACTATTAAGTTGTTCCCTAGAACTATCCATTATTTCAAACTATTTTTTAAAAAGATCATAATTTCAGTTTTGAGCAATACTACAAACAGTATGGTATCAACTAAATGTAATAAAAATAATTTTCAAATACCAAGATCAGTTTATAAAAGAATATTAATAATCTTTTGAAGTTCCCAACCCTTACCTGCTTAGTTGCAGCATCTGAGAGATTTCTAAGAGTCCAAAGACAATTCTGAACAAGACGCTGGCTTGGATCTGTAAGATGGAGTCCCAAGGCTTGCATTCCACCTAAAGATCAAATAGGATTTACTATCACTATTTCAACCTCTTGTTATGAAGGAAATATTGTTAATGTGGTTATTTCAGTGCAAGGCCAGTTACTGTATTCATGTACCATGATGAAATTGAAGTATACCCACTATACAATACTCAGGGAACTATGTAGAGCAGGGCTGTCAAATTCACGGCCCGGATGAGTCATGTGCTGGCCACACCCATACACGGTTTAAATGAAGGGGGGGAAGTCGCGATATGTCATGTGACACTGCAGTGACTCCCCTGGTGTAGAGCAATTCTTATCTCGGATCTAATTTTATTCACAATTCCACATGTATATTTGCAATAAGTTCTCAACATAAGGCGTATACTTCTGACTGTAACACATTCCATGTTTGACAAACTACTAAGCTATCAACTGGACCATGGTAAAAGAAGTTACAAAATAAAATGATGTATTATGGGCCTAATGTATCCAAATATTTGGACATATCAAAATTACTAAAAAATGTTAAGAATAAAAACTGCAATAGTAGCATCAAAAATGTACTAAATACATTTTAACAGCCATTAAAATTTCAAGAATTATTTTTTTGGAAAAATGTCTGCTATATCAATAGTTTTTAGTTTACTTAGCTGGTAACATTTTTGTTAAAAATGCCTTGTTATTGATACATTCCACCCAGTGTAGAATATTCCCTATACAGTATATAAGTGTAATTTTATTACCTACTCTACACAAAGGATATTCTTAGTAATTTTTGCGTAACTCCAAAACAAAAACAGTCCTGATTTAATGAAAACTAAAACACTTACCAGCTTCCACAATTGCAGGTTTGTTACTAGAACAGACTGATAGCACTTTCAGGACTCTACTTGTGGTCCACAATAATTTCTCATAGGTATAGGTCCTCATTATGTTTACTAGAGCCTGGGGTCCACCACTTGCCAAAATAATTAACTGTCAAAAAAAAAGGGGGGGGGTTAATAAGAGTAATATAAGCTAACCAGGATAACCTTCTTAAGATGGAATTGCAATTTCTTCATGCTGTCCTGCTATCAGCATATCTGTGCATACTGAAGTAGAAAACTGCATTTTCTCCTTGACTCTTGGAGTGTGTGGAGAGTGCGAGTGTGTGTGTGTGAGAGAGAGAAAAGGTATACATATGTACACATGTATATGTAATAAATAAGTATTTTATATTATAGACCACTGGCTAATCTCCCAATACCAATGACAATAATTCTTTCTAATGGTACTATGTATGCATGAACTTGAGGTCATCTTCATGTGAAACTTGTGTTTTATTACTGACATAAACATAACTATTCTTGAAGTTCAAATCATATACACAAGAACAAAGTATGAGATTAGGTTAGTAAAATATTTTATGTGTCCCATAATTGTCCAACTTACTACTTATTCACTACATAATATAATTTCAAGTATTACCTTGCTTTCTTGATTACCATATGCAAGAATCTGAAGACAATCTGTTGTAATTGCCAGAAACTTAACATTTGTTTTGTTGAGTAAGGCAACCATTTTTTGTAAACCTCCAGCTAGACGGACAGCCATTTTAGCACCTTCTTGATGCAACAGAAGATTGTGCAGAGTAGTAATCGCATAGAAAAGCACAGAATCCACTGGAGACCTATAAAGAGAAAGTCAAATTAATGAATATCCCACGCAAGGCCAACATATAGTGCATAGATATATCAAATCAATTAATTTACATACCCGAGCATTTTAACCAGAGCAGGAATACCTCCTGATTTGAAGATTGCCAGTAAGCCTTCACGATGATGAGATAGGTTATGTAGTGTACCTGCAGTACAACGGGCTGTTTCTACATCATTTGTATTCTGCATAGTACGCACAATGGCAGAAACCATTTGAGGAGAACGCATGATAGCATGACGAGAAGCTTCTTTTTTGGACAACTGGTGGACCATAACTGCTGCTTTGTTCACCACAACCTAATAAATGCATTGAAATCCAAAAGTAAGTCTACTAAGTGATGCCTCTTAGCAATCACAATAAATATAAGCTGAATCAATGTGCACATACCTGGTCCTCATCATTTAACAATTTGGTTAATTCTGGGATGGCACGAGTTGCTAGCTCTGCATCATCTTGGTAGTTTATCAAATTAACCACAGCATGTTTTAACATCTGGGAAGGTTCAGCAAGTCGTTGTACATTTGTTGGATGTGCAGCATCAAACTGTGTTGATGGGATTTGCATGCCTTCATCCAATGTTTCTGGGAACATGGCAGCACGTACTCTCTGTGCTCGGGTCATAGCATATTGTCCATCAATATCTGGAACAAGAGTAAGCTCTTTTTAATCTACTGATATATATATATATATATAATTTGATTTATATGCTGCCCTTCTCCGGAGACTCAGGGCAGCTTACAATGCGCTAAGCAATAGCCTTCATCCTTTTGTATATTTATACAAAGTCAGCCCCCACAACTGGGTCCTCAATTTACCTACCTTAGAAAGGATGGAAGGCTGAGTCAACCTTGAGCCTGGCGAGATTCGAACCTGCAGTAATTGCAGGCAGCTGGTCTTAATAACAGGATGCTTTAGACCACTGTACTACCAAGGTTCTATGCGGTTGAGTGATTAATATAATCACAGAACTCTACTTACCAGCTACCTGATCTTGAGTGAAAGACTGAGAGAATCCCTGTTCCCATTCATATAGAACTTGAGTGGTATCAACATCTTCCTCTTCAGGATTTCCCTTGCCACTCAGAGAGGGAGCTGTGGTTGTGGCACCAGAGTGGATACCAGAATCTAGGTATGACTGTTGCTGCCAATGACTGACGGCTGCTTTTCTGTCTGGCTCCATTGCCATATCCAACTCCATTAAATCAGCTGCTGGCAATAAATTGGTTAAAAACAAGTTGCTAAACTAACAGAAAACGTTTGGCAAAATTTTATTATGATTTTAATTTAGAGACACAAATCACATGCTAGATATAAATTTTCTTTTAAGATAGTGGAAAAATTCTCTTTTAACAGTGAAATAATATATATTACATTACAAAAAACTTTTGTAATAATTTATGGGATTTCCTTTCAGGGTATAACAGATATATTATACTATACTATATTATACTATATTGGGGTATACATTGCATTGAGATGTTTATGGTGATGGCCAAGAAAAAAAAGACAGTGAGAAAATGGGGTAGATGGACTAATAGGACACACTGTGCTGTGCACTGTACAAGGGAGGAGGTTTGCCATTTTTGCTCCATCCAGATCTCATTTTATCTGAAGTAAGAACAATGAAAGTTCTAGATTTCAGTTCTACTAAAGCATGGCTGATCTGAAATAATGTGGCATATGTGGAAGATTGTGATGTTTTATATGCAAAACAACTTTTTTCCCATTAAATGTTAACCTATGTTTTAAATGAACCTACGTTTCATTAAAAAATAAGTTTTTAAATGAGTTACTTTAAAATTCCACTTAAAGTTAAGTGGCTCTATTCATCATTAAACATCAAATCAAGGTAAGATAGCAGAATTTTATATGTAAATTTTATATATAAATTCAATTATTATTTTGAAGAACTGAAAATTGGTGATTACACCCAAGTGATCACAATCTATTTAATTTCCATCTGGATTATACTAATCCATACCTTGAGTTGCCATCTTTTTAATATATTCCCAGAACTGTGGTCTGTTCCACTTCAGACCCTAAATCAGAAAGACAGAAATATAATTAAGGTGTTTGTTGTTTTTTTTTTTGCTTTTTAATTTATATGCCACCCTTTTCCGGAGACTCAGGGCAGCTTACAATGCGTTAAGCAATAGCCTTCATACTTTTGTATATTTATACAAAGTCAGTTTATTGCCCCTACAATCTGGGTCCTCATTTCACCTACCTTTGAAAGGATGGAAGGCTGAGTCAACCTTGAGCCTGGTGAGATTTGAACTTGCAGTAATTGCAAGCAGCAGATGTTAATAACAGTGCTTTAGTCCACTCTACTACAGGCTTTTAACAGTTAACAATTTTAAGTTTCTGATTATAAAATCAAGTAAATGTTTACTTTAAAAGTAAAGCCCATGTAACACCTCTCCTACGCGAGCTGCACTGGCTCCCGGTGGTCTTCCGGGTGCAATTCAAGGTGTTAGTTATCACCTTTAAAGTGCTCCATGGCTTAGGACCTGGGTACCTACGAGACCGTCTTTTGCCACCAATAGCCTCCCACCGACCAGTTCATTCTCACAGGGAGGGACTACTCAGGGTACCGTGAGTCAAATTATGTCGACTGGCGACTCCCAGGGGGAGGGCCTTCTTTGTGGGGGTTCCAACCCTTTGGAATGAACTGCCCCCGGAGATACGGAATATCCCTGATCTCCGTGCTTTCCGCTGTGCCCTCAAGACCCTAATGTTCCAACAAGCAGGGCTAAACATACAAACATGTGAATGATTTTTTAAATGTTATCTAATTCTGGGTTTTATTTAATTGACCAAACTAAGTAATAATTTTAATTAGCAATTTTATGATGTTTGTGTGTCTATATTTTTCTTGACTGTACACCGCCTTGAGTCCTACGGGAGAAAGGCGGTATAGAAATATAATTAATAAATAAATAAATAAATAAATAAATAAATAAATAAATAAATAAATAAATAAATAAATAAAAGCAGTATAATTTATTTAGAGAAAGAGTTCTTAATTTTTTTGAGCCAAAGACTCTTTAAGAATCTGGTGAAAGGTGACTCAAGGAAAAAAGTAATAAACAGATAAAAAATATAATTGTTCTAAAAGAAAAACTGTGCCTAAATAGAGTTATCAAAATATTTTAGATAGATATATTGAAGTTTATTATTTTTGGAATCTAGAGACAATAAATTACTTTGTTGCCTATTATTGAATTAAAGCCTAAATTCAGTTAAAGTTTAATAGAAAAAGTAAAATAGTAATTTCTTTTCCTATCCAAGTTGTCATCTATGGACCTCTTATCAAAAGAACTCTGATTTAGAGGCTGTCATATATACAAAGCTATTAGCTAGAACAAAGTTAGCAGCCATTTGGGGAGTTGCCACTTTATGCATATTTCATTTAAAATAGTAGAATCTGGCTGGATGTCGTATTTAAATTGTTTCTCAAGAGTTAAGTTTATTTTGCTTCCTTCCAAAGAAAACCAATTCCAAATACCCATCATGGAACAGCTTACTGCTCAAAAAAATGGGATAAGGACTTGAAAAGTTATAGAAAAGATTGGTATAAGAAACTCAGTTATATTCACATTCTACTGCACAAAAAAGCATATATTTCTAATATGCCCTTGAAATAGTTTATATATTAAAATAATTTCCCTGCTGTCAGATTTCCAAAAGTAAAACTTCCTCCCATACTCTAGGAGTATTTGGGGGAGCATTATTTACATTGTAGTAATTATGCAATATCTTTTCAATCAGTGCCATGCTCAAGTTATTCACAAGCCATGTTAAGAATTCATTCTTAGATATAATGGATTTATATAGATGAAAATGTTAAATTTGAGGTAAAATTGGTTTTTTCTTAAGTTTTGAATTTCTTTTTTATCTTCTTTTCTTTTTTTGTTTACTTATAAAAGATGTAATGGAAATTGTGAATTGAGCTTGTGAAAGGAATCTAATGTGGTAACGATCTATGACCGGATCGAGATTTTTGCTCTTGAAAGTTATGTTTTTATGTTTAAATTTGGAAAAAATAAATAAAAAATATTTACAAAAAAAAAAAAGAATTCATTCTTAACTCAGCTTATGAATAACCTGAACATAGCACTGAATAGAGTGAATAACTTCAGCATATCATGGACCTCTTAAATTGTTTTCCAGTCCAGAATACGTAGATTACCGTATTTTCCGGCGTATAAGACGACTGGGTGTATAAGACGACCCCCGACTTTTCCTGTTAAAATATAGAGTTTGGGCTATACTCGCCGTATAAGACTACTCCTCTTCCAACGCACACCAAATAAAAATTAAAAAACATCAACTGGCTCACCCACAATGTAAAAGCAGCTGTGCTAGACCCAAAATGGCCCCTGCAACAAGCAGGAACCTCACAGCGCCACAAAAAGCCCAAAAAAACAACTTTCACACTTTACACACACACAACACAACTGGCTCACCCACAATGTAAAAGCAGCTGTGCTAGACCCAAAATAGCCCCTGCAACAAGCAGGAACCTCACAGCCACAAAAAGCCCAAAAACCAACTTTCACACTTTACACACACAAAATTCCACATACAGCTTTGTGAGATTTTGTGTGTTTGAGTGAAACACTACAGAAACACACTAAATCGCAGAAAACTGCACAAATATTATTTTATTTTTATTTTTATATGAAAGCTAAATTTAAAACTTCCTAAACTTTAAATAGATGGTCTAAAAAATGGTCTAAAAAAGAACAACTAAAAAAAACCCAATTAGCTGTTTTTTTTAAAGCTCCCAAAGGGGGAAAAAACTTACCCAATAGAACAGGGGTCTCCAACTTGGCAACTTTAAGACTTGTAGACTTCAACTCCCAGAATACCTCAGCCAGCTTTGCTTTGCTGGCTGAGGAATTCTGGGAGGTCAAGTCCACAACTCCCTGCCTGCTTGATTGCAGGCAGGGAGTTGCTTGCTGATGGAATGGATTCAGGCAAGCGAAGCAAGGCAAGTGTTGCGACTAGCAGCTAAGGTAAGCAAGCTGGAGGGGGAAAACTTTTTTCCTTTTACATGGCTCTGGCGATCCAAGCTGAGTTGCCTGATTAGCAGGCAACTCAGCTGGGATGGTCAGAGCTTGGCTCGTCAGAGCCTTTCGGGCTGGTTTGCCTGGTTACAGGAGAACGACACCTGGCGTATAAGACGACCCCCAACTTTTGAGAAGATTTTCATGTGTTAAAAAGTTGTTTTATACGCCGGAAAATATGGTATGTATATTGGTCTACAAGATAAAACCAAGCTAGTTTAAAAATCAAGCAAGATGACGCTTAAAGCCAATATACATTAAAGCAGCAGCAATATAAAAAGTTTATCTCCAGCAAAAAACTAGCACCCTCTGTAGTCTTTACAAAACAATATTAGGTATAGAAATACATTTTTAGGAGCTTCCTAAAATGTAATAAAAAGTGGAATATAAAGTTAATAAAATTTAATGGGAAGGAAGGGAGTTAAGTTATAGATAATCCATGATTTACGACTCATTGTGTTACAACAATCTCAGAAGGAAAGCATCTCTGGCCATTTTAACTGGTCATGCTGCTACCCTAGTTATGTGACCACATTTTGGGGTCTTGGCAATCAGTTATGACCAGTTGCCAAGTACTCTGCAATCATGTGATAATCATTTGCAATTTCTCTGTTGTCTGTCTCACAATTAATGAGAGAGGAAAACACTAGTCTCCGGAAAGATTCAGAAAGATGACAGCATTCAGAAAGATGGTATGCTAGCATTTGGGAAAGGAAAAAAGGTAGTGAACAACATTCTTCTGAGCTTTCCAGAACAATGGCATTTGTTAGTGTTTTCATCAGGTAATGCAATTTGGAGAAGCAGCTTCCCAAACCATTATGAGAATGTGGCAGGATGGAGCAGGCAAACCTGGTAATCAGCAGCTGAAGAACAATGCAAAAGTTAAGTGGACCCAGGCATGACAGGGTGGGGAGACAGCCCAGATATTCCAGTGTAGCGAGAAGCCTGGGTCCTCTCCCTACCCCACCACACAGGAGGCCCTAGCTCTCTCCCCAGTACTCCACTTAAGAACCTGCATGGTGACTTAACAACCAAACTGGGAGAACTGGGAAAAACTGTTGAGCAAAAACGTCACATAGCATTTCATTTAATGACTACTGTGCAACAACTGAGACTGTGAGCTTAATTTTGATCTTAATGGATCTATAGTCAGTTTTTGACTCCTGTCAACTGCCTGGAAAAATCCCTGCAGTTTTCATGGCGAGACTTTCAGAAGTGCTTTGCTACTGCCCCCTTCCAAAGTGGAGGGAGGACGGGAGGGAGGCAGGCAGGAAAGGAACCCAAGATCAGCCAGGTGGCTCTGTTCTGAAAGCAAGACTAGAATTTATGGTCTCCCCATTTCTAAACTTCCTGGTTTCTAGCACAGTGTCTTAACCACTACATCAAACTGGGTCAATTTGATTTGTGGAATATTTTGCCTACATTTTATGCTTCGTATGTCACTTCCAATTATGTTGGCAAGATATTAGCTTCTGATTTCTATTTCTCTCTCTCACACACACACACAGAGAGAGAGAGAGAGAGAGAGAGAGAGAGAGAGAGAGAGCGAGCTTTCAAATATTCAAACTTGAATCTTCTGCATCAGAGATGTCAAACTCAAGACCCATGGGCCACATATGGCCCATGGGGTGCTTAAATCCAGTCCATGGGGTCAGTCTAGAAATATCAAAGGACCGGCCCGCTGGGCCTCTGCCAGCTAAAACAGGCCGCATGGGGCCCCATGTGCCCCATTTGGCCAGTAAAGTGGTACAGGAGGCTGTTCAGGGCAAAAACAAGGCAGAGGGCGCCGCACGCAGGGGGCCTGCACCCTGTTTAGGCCAACAGGATGCTGCAGGAGGTGTCTGTCCGGTCTCCCACCCACCACCCCACGGAGAACTACAATGCTGATCTGGCCCTCGAAGAAATCCAGTTTTGACACTCCTGTTCTACACGGAGCCCTCTAACAAGAAAATCCTGTAAGCAACTGA